AAATCGAGCTTGGACACGACATGACTCTAACTCTGCCCGTGCAGTAGGAATGGGAACATCCCCACACTTCGTCTCTTCATAACAAAGCCAGAACTTTGCTTGTGGCACTTCCTTGCCTGTTGAGGTAAATGTTCTCACATTGGGCAACCAGGCTAGCCAAGACATCTCATCTCATATGCTTTTAATGCTAGTTGGGGCCTTCTAAAGAAGAGGAAAATTGCCTGGATCTTTCCAAGAAACCTAGGTGCAAACATGTGCAGGAGCATGGCGCTTTAGCTCATCAAAAGACAGCTCTGTATGGCACAAAAGGAGCTCCTCTACTAGAGGTACTGAACAACTGTGTACGCTGTGAGTGCGTCAAAAGAACAATTCACGACCAGCATACAGAACCAGGCTGGCCTAGAAAGCAGAGAGGGTCAGGCGTCCCTGTGCTGCGGGAGGCAGGAACATGGCCTGCTGCTGCAGCTCTGTCAGCTAAGGTGCACGTGGAAGTTGGGCCCTGGAATGCGTGATTGAGGCACCCACAGCCACGGCCAAGCTTTCGCACAGCGCTCTCACAAAACACTTAACGTGAGCAGGGAAAAAGTCCACGTGCCACGTTCTCTGAACTGCAGCATCTGCCTTTGCTACCACCAACACAGGTGGCTTTATACCGTCTGCTTTATTCCATCAGAGAGCTGCTGAGACTACTCCTGCCCGGCGTGGCTGCAGCCTGCACCCACAGCGTTGCTCTGTGGTGGCTCACACAGAGTGGGTCAGGGCTGCCGCCACAGTGCTGACACCCACGTTACACCAGCGCGTTGCTCCGGCATTCCCAGGCTCCCTGCTTGCTCCCCGGCAGCACAGTGTCACCAAAAACAGACAAAAATTTTTTGGCTATTTCAAAAACAGACAAAAATTTTTTTTCATTGTTTCCTCTGCTGCTTCCACCTCCTCATGCCTGGATCGTACAGCTAAGTCTTTGCTGGATTGATAGAGGACTTCTTTAGAGCACACAAGGTCTTTCATCCTCACCATGATCAGAACAAATCAGTGCACCTTTGCTGTTCCATGTAGTCTCTTTTAAACTGGGGTGAGCTGAACTTTCTATGCAAAGATTTGACCTCTCCTGAAATCCCTTGATCAGCAATTTCACTTGCTCGCTCTTTCATGCTTGAGGCATTATGAAACACTGGAAACTACACATTCTTTCATAAGGAAGTTAGTGAGAAAATTCAAATAATCAACTCGGTCCCAAGAGATTTGGGGTCTCTTTCCAAGTATGAAAGCTCTTTCCTAACAGAAGTTTTGCTCTTGAAAGTCTTCTGGTTAGCAGGCAGCTCATGATACAGCTCCTCTGGAGCATGATTATACTTCCAGCCCAGGGGCAAGTAATAAAAAAGCCTGCCTGGCTCTGTGAGGTCTGAATCAGGTGCTAACACTGAACATCTGCTGGGGCCTCTGCTCCCTTCTCCCCCACCCTCTCTCCATGCACTGGGCACTGGAGCATTCCCCATTTTATAGCTTGTGGCAACAAAAGGCCAATTTAAGAGGGAAAGCATTGCTGACAGCGTTATGCAAAAAAACCCAGACTCTGCTTCAACTGCTCTCTATCCAGGACTTTTGAAGAGTGCAGCACCACTGTGACATGCTGAAAAGATCTGTGTTGTATGGCAGCCTTTGGAAGCAGTCACCAGCAAAGCATTCAGAGCCCATCCCGAGCGAGACAGACTCTACATGTACGTTTATGCATACAACCAGATTGCTTATTGTACAAAAATTAACAGTGCCACTCAAGAGGGCCTTCGCAGATGTTTAGAAAGAGACATGGAAACACAGCTTTAAAACACTTTTTTTATGTAATCTAGGTACAAACTACTGAAGCACCACATACTGTGTATGTATATATACACATACACACGTGTGCGCATGTATCTGCATACACAGAGACACAGACTGAACAAATTGTCGCAGCAGGCTGTGATATGCTCACACATTGCTCTCTGAGGAATCACACATCCCTACACAAGGGTTTCCCCTGGCGGGACACAAACTGCACTTACACTGAGCCATAGGCTCCATCCTTAGGTCTTCGAGTTGCTGCCACTGTTGGCCTAGTCTTCCCTCCCTGGCTGCTCCTTGCTGCACCCTGCTGCTGGCTCCCCTGTAGAATTAACCACCCAACCACCAAGGCAAGTGCACCAGAGGGACTTGGTAGAGACGTAAGGACCAGCATACAGGGTCAGATCCCTATCCTGAGAAGTCTCAGCAGGGAAGGGATGGTCTCTGTCTGCTGAGGTGTCTGATCTAGTGGGGCTCAAGTCACAGGTGTAACGCTTGTGCACAACCGTCATACATATACACATCTATGGCCTGGAAACTTTCACTTTTCTGCTCCACAGCAATAAAGGATGAATGGACCTGTACAGGAAAAACATATTTGGGGTAGAAATCATGACCTTTAGAGAAAAATACTGCAGCACCTGAGCAATCCCTACTAGAGGGAATGGCCAGTTCAGTGAATTTTGCTTAACATGCGAGAGGGAAGTTTAACGCCTTAAGGCAGGAGATTCATCAAAGAGCTAAGGAATGACATTTTTGCTAAATGCTGTGCTTTCATCAGCAAGAAGGGCACTGCTGCTTGCAATATGAAACTGAGAAAACTGGTACTTACCTTTCTAAGCAGCAACTGCTGAATCCCAGCACTGCTCCTGGGCAGCTGAACAGGGTAAATTATTGGCATTCATGTCTATTCCCTTCTGGATCTTGCTTGTGTAGACTAAGCTCCTCGAGCAGCAATGGCCTCTCTAGTGAGAGACCCTGAAGTGCTAATCTGGCATTGGCCACAAGAGATTTGCACAGCTTTACTAATTCCTACTGCAATAAAACAAACAAAAAACAGAGTAATGGCTGTAGCCTACAGCTTTTGTAAGGAAGGAATGGCAGACTGTAGCAATGTTTTCAAAGCTTTCTCTCTATAAAGGTCCAGTTATTCCCTGTGAGGAACAGACTAGCCCTGGTTGGAATTTATCAAAAGATTATAAAGGGTCAACACGACTTCTACTCGCTCATCTTCCAATGCAGAGAGAACTGTTCCTTTTAGTCTGACTGCCGCAGGTATCTTGAGTCCCAAGGGCTCTACTGTGCAGTTAGTGCAAACTGGTCAGGAAAGAAGCAACCAGAACTTTTTTTTTCTCCCTGTAGGTGAAGAGGGTAAAAGTTGATGTTCTTGCTGCACTAACCTCCCTCTGCAGGAGTGTAACAGGGCCTAACGACAGGCAGGGGAGATGCTCTGTCCTTGGAAAGATATGAACAGCAGCTATGTCTCAACCAGTCTGGAGGCTTCAGAAGGTATTTTGCTGGAATGCCACATGGAAACACACTTCTGAAGCCCCGACTCAGTTTCATTTCAAATGCAAGACTGACAGAATCTCCATGGTGTTTCTCTACACAAATTGGGGCAGCCCTTTAAAACAGTAGGATCAATCCAAGACGTGGTCTTCACATACAAAGAAAGAAAAAGGAACACTGACAAAGCAGCAATGGTAAAACAGCTTCAAAAGTCGCTCATGTAATCAGACAGATGCCGTGGAGCTGTTATGCACGTATCCTGACAGTCCTTGCTATTGAACAGCAAACACACTCGAGCAGCATTTGCATTATTGGTTCACGTGTTATGGCCCAAGAGACCAGTGTGCTGAATTACTGACATTATTGGGAACTTCCAAGAACTAGCAAAAAGGAGCAAATAAGGATATACTCCCATTCAAGATGAGGCGTTATCTGTTTCTCACTCCAGTTTGCCACATCTGGCTATGCCATTAGGAGTCTCAGCAGAGCACCAATGCACAGAATACCTACCGAACAGCACAGCAACTCACATCTACCAAGATACTTCAGGTTTAGCTCATAAAAATTTAAGAGCTTGCATATTCTTCTGTAAATCTGACCTCTCCTACCAGGGGAAACCTTCGTATGTCAGACTCGCAGCCCAAGTCTGTGAAAAGATCATTAGTCAGTATGACAGTTAAACTCTACAGAGAGGATTTCTCATGCTACAGTTTATAACCAACCCTTCTCATTCCTGCACTTGTATGTGGGAAGGGAAGAAACAGATAAGAACATAAATGAGACCATACAGATTATTCTTCCCTAAATCAATAACATTTACACATTTTTTAAAAAAAAACTCCATTTTTTTTTTTTAAAAAGCATGAACATTTCTACAACAAACAGGTGCAAATTCCATTGTCTAGTATGCTAGGAAAGAGTTCATGTCTAATCAGAAGAAGTGGAAGTCCACAGCCATGTGTAAGGACAGCCTTGTGTTTTAAAGACAGCCTTGATATTAGTGTCTTTACTGTATTAAACTCCTGGTACTTAAATAATAATAATAATAATATCTAGACAGCACAAAGTATACAATGATACATAAGCATAAAAGTGCAAGATGTAACTTCAGTCAAAGTGCCTACTGGTCAAACTTCAAAGTGTTTACTGGTCAAACTGGTACAAACTATGTTCAGAAGCCAAGCACAAACTGGACCGAGAGCAATCAAGGCCCTTTTCTTTTCCTCTCATTTTCATCAGAAGTTGTCACAGGTAACACCGTTACAGTCTGAAGTGACAGTGATTCCAGATGGACGCACATGAGGAGAGCCGAGCTCACGACTTGATGGAAAACTGATCCTCATTTCCTCTGTGTAATGCCAATCAATCCACAGGCTTTGCTCTGAATATCCGAGCAGAGAGAGAGAGAACAGTAACTTCGATGCCACATTCAGGGGAGGCAGAGCCAGCAGCTCAACAGAAATGTGGCACTTAAGAGCAGGGGGTACAGTGAGCCCTTGTTAGCTCCTCTGGAGTCACATCCCCCAGCTGATTTATTGATTCCAGTGATGAGAGATGACTATGAGGTTAAGTAACACTGCTCTCCATTGGAAAAATAAAAAGATTATCCTCACAAGCATAATTTTTCCCTTCCTGTTTCTCTTATTTTACTATTTCAGAGTTAAAATGTCTTTTACAGTATCAGTTTGTTATCGTGTTCATTCCCGTGAAAGGCAAATGGAGTTTAAAAGATCTTGTCACCAGAAGAGGGTGGGATGGGCGCAGAGGCAGACCTTTTATTAAACCTTTAAAAAGATTTCTAACTCATTTTGCAAGTGAAAACAACAAAAGCCATAAAACTCTAGCAAAGGAGAGCCGTCACTGAGATTAAGCAGATCCAAACTCCGCCATCCACTTTTCATACTTCTCCAGGTCTGCAGCAGAAACAGATTTGGCGATTTTCTTCAGCGCCAGCTCAAAGTCCCCCTTGGTAACTGGCATCTGAAGCTCCTCTTTAGAAAGTGCACGAATCTCTTCTGGAGTTAAGCCGTTAATACGTCGTCTCATTGCCATTAAAGAGGCATCCCTGGAAATACAGGACAATGTATGGGAGCTAATTGCTAGCAGCATGTGCTGTAAGTCTACGAATTTCGATTGTATTCTCTTGCTAGAAACCACTGGCAGGAACACTTAAGAGAGCATTTATTTACCACAGAAGATGCGGTTCACATCTTTCTTAGCTTCCATGTTCCCAGATCACTACATTAATTCAACATAAAGAATGCATTGGCACCAAAACCCATTTAAGCATATGGTGAATGTGCAGAGCTAATTAAAACTATAAAACGGAAAACCTTTTACAATGATTCATAGAGATGAAATTTTACAACTTCAGTGCAAGAAAGGGCAGGGTGGGAGAGGAGCTGCACTCAAAAGACTTTTTTTTTTTTTTTTCAAGTAGTCTGGATTCTGCACCCCTATCGCCTTAGATTTCAACCTTCTCCCCACCATGTAGCCCAAAAGGACAGTCGGGAAGTGTTGGGAGTGCAGCCCAGCTCCACTGCCTGCTCACACACAGCACCTGAACCCATGAAGGGCAGAGCAGGAGGCATCAGACACTAATACCACGTGGGGGTACAGGGCTGAGGCCATCCCTGCCTGTGGCTCCTCAGGCTCTACCTGCTCCATCACTCCTCCCCAGCTCGGATGCTGCCAGCGTGGCCCACTGGCACGGAGAACACTGCTCATTTCTCACACCATGGCCCACATGCAGTCCAAAATTACATTTTCTCTTTCCCCAGGTTTTTCCCAGCGAGGGGTAACACAGGCCTCAGGGAGAACAGGTAATTTAACTATTGCACTGTGTGACACACACCAAGGTTTCAAAACCATAGAGTCATTTCACAACTTCAGCAAAGCAGCAGGGGAAGAAAAAAAAAATCTCAAGCCATGTTCTTAAAGGATCAGTTTCTCTTGGCAGGGATCCTAACATTATAAGGGACATAGACTGACTTCCTTTTTTTTTTTTTTCAAATACCTATCCTCCACCAGAAAAGACTCATTTGTCAGAAAATGAAACAAATTGTGGGAACAGGATGGAAATAAATTCAATACTAATGCTATAAACTATTTGTATCACCCTTGCACTTAAATGGTTCAGGCAGAAACCAAGGCCGTGGTGCACTGGGGGCTGTCCAAACACACAGCATATAGAAGCCCCAAAGAAGTATTCTGTGAAAGGCTCCTTTGCATCACAAAACTCTAGCTCTTAAATTCACAGGGATTTAAAATCAAATAAAAAAAATCCAAACCTGTTTTGCACTACATTAACAAATGCAGACAAATGCACTAAATGCATACAACAGTAACGTGAGATTTGCTCAGAGAATTTTTTTCTCTTCAGATCCAATAAGACTTAATCACATCTCACAGAAAGACCCCATGGTCTTTAGACCACTCCACATGACGGTAACACATGGTTTCAGTAAACAGATCTGGGCATGAAACATAGTCACTATTAGCATGGCTTCAGTGGTAGTGGGTATCGCCTTTTATCACAAAATGCAAATGCTGACTTTTCATGCAGTTTTATCTGGAAATTAAGGGGTATGAGATACCTGCAAACATTAGTGATGTCAGCACCAGAGTAGCCTTCAATCTTCCCAGCAATTTCTTCAAGGCTGATATCAGGATCCAGTTCTACTTCCCGAAGATTAATCTTAAGTAGTTCTGCTCTGCCTTTTGCTACAACATAAAAATACTTGTCTGAAGACTTGCAAGAGCAGTATTAAAAAAAGATAACTCAGATTTTTCAGTGAAAGGTACAAACAAAAGGGTTTAATAGAAGAAAAAGAAAGCAACAGAACAAATCATAGTAAACTGTGCAACCAGATACAGTAAAGTATATGATTAAAAGCAGTATATTAAACCAGCATGCTCTAGAGACAGTTTCCAAAGTCATACGTCACTAAAAATGTCTGCTGTGTCTCAGGTGACCAAGCATTTGGTCACATACTACCCAAGGGCACAAAAGCACAATCCTACAAATGTCTGCTTCTTCTCACATCCCTTTGGATTCACTCGCTGGTTCAAGTGTTTGATTGCATATTACTCAGGCAGTTTCATTAAAACCACAACGAGGAGTCTATTAACAGAGCTTCATACAGCACAAACCCCTTAACATTAGGCTGAACTTTAAGCATATGTTTAAGCACTTTATTCAGTTGGGACTCCAGAACGCTGCTGATAGAAAACAGATACATTAATACAGTAAACATATTAATATCTTTATGATACAAATGTCCTGGTATCCCACTTTCAGACCTAGATGCCGTGTGCACACAGTGATAACCAGCTCTGAAAATGAGCACTCATGCAGCCAATTAACAATTTTTCTTGTAGAAGGTATGTGCATACGTGCATGTGGGTACGTATGTTGAGCAGCCTAGGCTTCTAAGAGGGAATTCACATCTGACAGCTTCGGCCTCAGTGTTACTTTGCACAAGGGTGGTAAAGAAGAGGATAAATGCTTTCCTGGCTTTTACTGTACAGAAAAATATACCAGCTCAGCATCTTTATTTCCACAGTGACCAATTTTTATGACCTATAAAAGAGGACAACCACAACAGAAGAAGGAGCAGTAAGGAAGGCTAAAAGTCTTAAGGAAATGCCCACATTTATGTTTTATTTATTCATGTCCCTAATTAAAAAAAGGGAGGAGAGGAAATAAAAAAGAAATTAGAAAGCTTGTCTAAAGATGCTGGTTTTGTGTGCTTTGCAGAACTGTCAAGAATATAGTTATCAATCACACACAACTAGCACTAGCTATAAAATGAAGATTTATTATTTACAGAGCACAATGTACATACGGCATACCTGCAGAGAGCATCCTGCATCAGAGAACATTCTTCTAATCTTTGCTATGGGCTAAACAAGTCCTCGCAGTATTTTGAAAATGAAACATGGTAGAATATATACTTGCATCAAATTCCACAATATTCGTGTATATATGACATAACATTTCGCTTTTTCAATTAAAATTCCTGACCACATCAATTCACACAGCACAGTTACAAATGCATCATTTAGACTTGCCCAGAACAGCTCAACATTCATCTATTTACAGAATAGATGCAGCAGAATGTAAGACTGGAAATAAAACTGGAGCACATCTCGTATGTTGTCCAGGGCGTAATACACTGTGTCAAAAAACAATCTGGTTTAATTAGAAACAAGAGCAAGAGCTGATAGGATTTTAAACTAATTGGTCATAAAGACAGGCATCCTGCTAGGAGCTGTTACTGCCTGTAAGCTGCAAAGACAAGCTGTAGAACTATTAAGTGTCCTTATACCTGCTAAACTCAATCACAACTGCTGTCACCGCAAGCACACATCTTGTTATCTTGAGTGCTCATGCAGGGAGATGAGGCACCCACTGTACCAAGAAGAAACGAAGCTATGCAAACTTCAAGTGATAGGAATCTCAAAATTAATAGGACAGGTGAGTGACAGCGAGGAAAGACAACACAAGGCGAGACGGCTGAGGGCAGGAAAGCAATCAGCTCGCTGCATTCTGAGTGACTCGACGCACAGTCATAAAGGCGAGCGAGCAGTGATTTACAAGCAACTAAGCCTGTAAGTGAAAATTCATGGATCCGCTTTTTTGCATTTGTCTGCAAGGGCACGGAGCGCATTTGCAATATTTCTGAATATGTCCGAAGGCTGCCTTTGATGATCACTCAAGGATTGACTGTTAAACATTTAAAATAATTCCAGGCTCATTAAAACTAACTCTCTTTCAAAATGTAAGAACCCATCAATGGGCTTGCAATGAAATGCCACAGCTCTTTGTTTTTAAGCCCCTAAGCAAGTAGTTTGGTCTTTTCTTTTCCTTTCTCTCACTCTCTTTAAAAATAAAGCAACCCAGCCAAATGATTAACCCCTGAATTTCACTGTTCATCACAAAAACATCCAGATTCCCTCCAAACCGAACAGTCCTGCAGTAATCCTAAACCCATCTTGCAAAGGCCATTTTAAAGGAAAATGCTCATAGCAAACATACCTGTGGGCAAGGGTATATAAATCCTCTTCTCCAGTCTCCGTCGGAGAGCTTCATCGATATCCCAGGGAAAATTTGTGGCTGCTAATACCATAACCATCTTGGAAGGGTCATCATTTTCCAGAGCACCACCTACCCCTGCAAGCACACCAGTTTAGAGAAATTGCATTCCACAGCTCTTACTGAGATGCTTGCCAAGAAACACTGCACAGACAAACATTGCAAAAGCCTGGACAACAGCTCTATATAGTCCTAGTGCCCCTTTCCAAACTTCCCATAGCTCAGGTGTGACGAGACCATCATTGTCACAGAGGGGAGACAGTTCAGTCTTTTGCTGAGTCAGGGGAGGGCTTTCTTTGACAGTGCTACTAACACAGTCATATGTGAGCGTAGCCCCACTAGTCCCATCAAAAGTGCTATCTCTGTCAAATCTGGCCATAGCAGAAATAGGAGTCACTCCCTGCCCTCCCAAACGAGGACTGAAAGGAAATGATCACTTTGGGGCAAAAACTTGCCTACCCTGAGTTTGCCACGATGAACCTGCACGTTTGAGGATATTATTTTAAATAGTGGTTAAACAACTACTGCAACAGAGAGGTGGTTATCAAACCACTGCGCCATACAATATTCCACAGATGGTCATCCTCGTTATGTGCACCTGCACAGAACAGGTACTAAATCTGATAAAAGGGTAACATTAGTTGCCACCACAGAAGACAGCAAAATCAGATCTCACAACGAGGTCCCCAAGCTGGAGAGTCTAGCAAAGGGGAGAAATTTGTTGAAATTGCCACAACATCAAAGACCTGTATTAAACCGCACAAATCTTCATTATCTGCTTCTCAGAGTCTGAATCTCTTAAATACGAGTTTTCAATTTACCATCCAAACGGCCATTTTCGTAAAAACAAAGCAGAACGCTTTTCAGTCATCTGACTTCAAACAGTCCAGAAATACACTGCTCTTAAATTCTGCCTTGTTTTTTCCCCATCCATAAAGCCAGGTTTTCCAGATTGCTCAAGTTCTTACGTTCCCACCTGTAAAGAAACAGCACCCCAGTCCCAAACTTGGATCTAAACACTTGTTACCGTCCATTTGCACAAGCAGCTCTGACTTGACTCTGCGACTCGCCTCGTGTTCGTCGGACGTGCCTCTGCGGCTGCAGATGGAATCTATCTCATCAATGAAGATCGTTGTTGGAGCGTAAAACCTCGCCTTTATTCAAATGAAAACATCACTATTAGGGCTGTAGCAGCAAGCACAGGCCCTCATCAGACCACGATCCAGTTCCCACTAGACATACTACATACATATCTTCCCTGCCTGTCACAAGAAAATAATTCAAGATCTCGATTTCATAGGTTCATAGATTCATAGATTCATAGATTTCTAGGTTGGAAAAGACCTTAGAGATCATCGAGTCCAACCATCCCTAATCCCCATTAAACCATATCCTCAAGTAGATCATCCACCCTATTCTTAAACACATCCAGGGATGGGGACTCAACCACCTTCCTGGGCAGCCTATTCCAGTGGCTGACAACCCTTTCAGAGAAGAAATACTTCCTAACATCCAACCTGAATCTCCCCTGACTAAGCTTATACCCATTTCCTCTTGTTCTATCACCCAACACTAATGTAAAGAGCCCTTCCCCCACCTCCCCACCATCTTTTCTCAAGTATTTGTAGGCTGTAATCAGGTCTCCCCTCAGCCTCCTCTTCTCCAGGCTAAACAGCCCCAACTCCCTCAGCCGCTCCTCATAAG